GATTCCAGAAAAGAAACCGGAGATCGAGATTTCTCTCCTGAGCCCAAAAATAACATATGTTGCATATGCATTTTAGGCATACCTAAGAGCATTGCATCCATCTCATCACATATATGCATAACTTTTTTAGGTTTTAGCTAGAGTCAATTTCAACTTCGCAGCGAAGTATATTGAGCTCAAAGCTACACAATCAACTTGAGAGTAGATTTCAACTTCGACGGAGGATATCTAGCTCGAAGCCAAACTTCACAATACTTGGATTTCAACTTTACGACGAAGGATATTCAAGTCAAGACTCAACTTCACGACGAAGGGGTCATCCACGATTTCAACTCCACGACGGAGGATATCATTCCCATACATCCACGATTTTAACTCCACAACGGAGGATATCGCGCCACCCGAGACAACACAAGTTCAACTTCACAATGAAGGGACGGCTGGTTGTCAACAAACAACTTCCCAATTTCAGAGCCAATTTCAACTTCACAACGAAGGATATTGGACTCAAGACAATACAAGTTCAACTTCACAACGAAGGGACGGCCGGTTGTCAACAAACAATTTCCCAATTTCAAAGCCGATTTCAACTTCACAACGAAGGGCATTGGACTCGAGATAACACAAGTTCAACTTCACAACGAAGGGACGGCTGGTTGTCAACAAATAATTTCCCAATTTCAGAGCCAATTTCAACTTCACAGCGAAGGGCATTGGACTCGACACAACACAAGTTCAACTTCACAACGAAGGGACGGGTGGTTGTCAACAAACAATTTCCCAATTTCAGAACCAATTTCAACTTCACAACGAAGGATATTGGACTCGAGACAACACAAGTTCAACTTCACAACGAAGGGACGGTTGGTTGTCAACAAACAATTTCCCAGTTCTAGAACCAATTTCAACTTCACGAAGGAGGATATTGGACTCGGAACAATACTACCCACTTTGATTTCAACTTCACGATAAAGGATATCCAATTACCAGGCTCAACTTCACGACGAATGGGCCACCCGCGGTTTCAACTTCACGACGAAGGGGAATCGTGCACACAAGAAGCATTCATCTCTAGATTGGATTTCAACTTCACGACGAAGGATATCCAACTCAAAGAAGGGTTATCTATCATCAAAGACCTTCGAGTTCGGTTACATTCAGCTCAGAGGTAAATCAAATTTATAGCATAGCTCAAGGCAAAAAGGGTTATCTGTCAGCGAAAATTGTCGAGTTCGATTCCATTCAGCTCGATGACACCTCAATCAAACTATTATCCGGCTATAATCGAGGTTTTCAAGCCGAGAAGAAGATCTGGGTTAGCCGTGCCTTAGTAGCAAGAGGCCTTTTTTCCGTCAGCATAGCTTAAGTCGAGAAAAGCTATCTGTCAACGAAGATATTTCGAGTTCGGTTTCATTCAGCTTGAGAGCATATCAACAACATTGTGGAGTCAAGGGATTACTTTCCAGTCGAATTTTTAGCCAAGGTCTTTAAACCGAGAAGAAGACCAAAGTGGACTACAACGAGAAGCCACATTCTGATTCAAATCATTTCAAGATGGACTCGACTTCGCGACGGAGGAGCCATCCGCAACTCAATTCAACAATGAGTTATTCTTTAACTCCACTGAACGAAAATTTGTGTCTTTTTATCTTTGTCCTATTTTTCGTTCCTCGAAAAAAGACAAAGAAGGGCAGATATAGACACCAATTTTCTTAAAAGATAGAACTAGCAAGAGTTCATCTCCTAAGAGGACTCTTCCACCACCATATCTTTTAAAGCAACAATTACACCAAAAAAGGTGCAACAACCGAGCAAGGAGTCTAGTTGCATTAGGATTCTATTGTTAGTTAGTTTTTTTCACTATAAATACATGTAATCCTTCCCATTTGTAAGACACGATTATCATACGGGATTACGCACACACACAAAAAATACTCAAAGCAAATACGCAAGAAGCCCCAAAGATTCGCTTGTAATTTTCAACAGAGAAATAAAAGAGGTATTTTTACCTATATTGCTTCGATTCTCGCTTGCATGTGGCTTGTTTCACTTCTTCTTTTCCGTTTTTACTTTGAAAAGGCCGATGAACACAAGGGAACCGAGATCTTTTCTCTTAGATCTACGTTTCCTCGAGGCTTATTTTGAAAAACCGGTTTGATTTTCGATTAAAGGAGGGAAGAGCTTTTTAAAAATCTATATTACTCCCTTTATTTATTATATGGATATTTTATTCATTTATTTTTATTATTCATGTTATTATTATTATACGTATATATATATATATATATATATATATATTAATTATTTTCATTTTTTTACTATATTTTATTATATATATATATATATGTTTCTTTAATATTTTACTTATTAGTCTATTATTACTATATATATTGTAATTATCTTTATCTAGTTATATATATTTTTTATACTTTTAATAGTTTATTTATATATCTATTATTAATATATATATTCTTAATTATTTTTATTTGATTATTTCTTTATTTACGTAATATATCTTATAACTTTATATATATATATATATATTATTGTTTTTTATTCATTATTATATTATTTTTTTTAAAACCTTGTGTCATTATTATTATTATTAAACATTATATTATATATTACTAACCTAGAGGACCCATTTTTTTGTTTTATTTCTAACTAAAGTCTCTCTCGCTTTCCTCTTTTTGTCTTATTTCTGACTAAAGCCCCCCACTTTCGGTGAAGTGAGAGGGTACCTTTTCTATTTTTAAATATTTGTTGTATATATATATAGCTTATTTATTTTATTAATACTTTGATATATATATATATATACTTTTTTCATTTTTCAAATATTACTATATATAATTATTACTTTACTATTTTTTTCCTTATCTTATTTATTTATTTTTTTTCCTTTTATTTTATTCTCTTTATCTTATTTGTTTTCTTTACATTGTTTATCTAACACATTTCTCGATTTTTTAAGGATATTTTCAAATCAATCTAAGGTAAGTAATTGGGATCGTATTTTTACTTTTTAATTTTAACTTATAATTTTCTTAATTTAAGACAACTGAAAATTACATAGTACCGAAAGGGCAGTTCAAGGGTGCTAACCCTTCCTTGACTGTAACCGACTCCCGAATCCGACATATCTTTAGTAAGACGCAGATCAGGTAAGAAATAAGGTATCCGATCTACCTATTTATCTTAAAATAAAAGATCGGTGGCGACTCCAATCCATATTTTCCTAAGTCGAAGCCCAATTCCGAGACTCAACCGAAAGACGGTTGCGACATACCTGTCGTAAGATAATAAATCAAATAATGGTAGTTTATATAAAAATATAAATTAAAACACGAAGTAAAACAAAAATACTCAAACATTGATAGATTGGGAAAAATAGAAGGGAAGGGAAGGGCCCATGTTGAGGTTGAGAGCACAAGCAATGGCCCTACCACTCGTTGTGTTGGACTTGTCCACTCGTTGTGGTACACTTTTGTTTTTTTATCACTCAATTTTCTTTTGGCTTCTATATATTTTAATTATTTTTAATTTAATCATTCAATTTTAGTATTATTCATGTTTTAATTATTCTATTGTTAATTCAAAAACAACATAATGACATGATCGGTTTCACTAATATTTTATAGTTATATGGATCATTTTATTAATACGATGATCACTAATTAAAATTTTATAATTTATTGTGGAACTCATGCTAATGTCTCTACTATCTCATTTCAGGGTAAAGAATACATTAGGTCGGCTTTGTTTCAATTCCATTTAATTTCGATCACTAAATTCAAAAAAAATACATTCCAATCATTTATAATATCACTTTATTATATCTTGGTCATTAAACCATTAACATTCGTTACTTTAACGAAATGACATATTAAAAATAGTTAATTTCTAATTAAATTCCTAAATTTTAAATAAAATATCAATTTAACCTTATAATGCAATCATCGTTTCTTATCGTCAGTCATCGCTTACCATTGTCGTTAATTGTTGTTGGTGATGGTGTTATAAATCAAATCTAAAGAGTTATATTTGTGATTCGATTAAGTTTTACGAAACTTACGTAAATTTCAATTTTCAGAGAAAAGTTAGTAAGATATGATATTATGTAGGTTTTGAGGTGTAATCTTGTTGTTAGTAATGATGTATTATTTCCGTGGTCATGTGCGTTCGGTATCAAAACCACAAGAGTCGAGTTCAAGCAAATTGAAAGAAAAAGAGGAGGTGATTTGAGCTTTTGATAAGGTGATCAATAAATGTTTTGAGTTGATGCATCTTTGCACAATACAAAGTGATAACTGGAGCTTAAGATTAGACCAATCCTCTTATCTAAGTTTCACGTTTATGCACAAATCAAACGGCTTTAATGGTAAAAGAATTATTGTTATTTTTTTAAGTATTAAGTTAGAACACAAAAAATATTAAAGGTACGAGTGTTTAATATAAAATGAACTTACATCGTATTAATTAAAAAAAGTTTCATGTTTAGTGATTCTTACTAAATTCTTTTAAATTATTAAAGGTACGAGCGTTTAATATAAAATGAACTTACATCCTATTTTAAATTATTATTATTAAAATAAACTTAATATAAAACGTTCATATTCTTAATATTTCTGATATTCGAATTTAAAATTTTAAAAATAATAATAATTTATTTACTATTGAAGCTGTTTAATTTGTGTTTTCCGAACTAAGTTCTACTGTGGCATTTAATAATGTGTTGTAATTTAATAAACACATTTATAAAAAAATGTATTATTTTTTAAATAGATTTTTTCAGATGTTATTTAATGATATTTTAGTAAAATTGGCCGAATGTAGTGGAAATAAGAGTGGGAACGCATAAAACAAAATATCAGTATATAAATAAAGAAAATGTTGAAAAGATTTGTGAGACGAAGTTTCGTGGAAGTTGCAGTGGACCTTAGATTTCCCCAACCATTTAAGCCCTCCACCTTCGTCCTTCCTTTCATCTTCTCCAGATTAATTTATGTGCTTTCTATTTTCTTTTTTCATCCATTCTCAGTTTCAGTTTTCATAGACCATCATGAAATTAATCAATAAGCTTAGTCCCAAGCGTCTCTTTCGATCTAACAAGAAGGATCGGTCCGCCGTCTCCAAATTTGACCCTTCATCCTACAGTTCCGGTTCTGCTACATCTTTGTCCTCTTCTTCGTCGGAATCCGTTTCTTCGGTTCACAAAGGAAGCCAGCACCCTCCTTCGGCCACCGCCGGTACCGGAACACCCACCAGCGGTTTGCCCGAGTCATCGGGTGACAGGTCAGATTTTCCTGCTAATTTTTATCTTGAACTCTGTCAAGCTTTCAAAATGGTGGATGAAGATAACGATGGAGTCATTACAAGAAGCGAGCTAGAGGCTCTGCTGAGCAAGTTCGCCCGGAAGCCGCCGAGCGAGGAGGAGATTTCGGCCATGATAAGCGAGGTGGACGGAGACGACGATGGGTGCGTAAGCCTGGAAACTTTAGTGAGCCGGGTTGAGGGATCGGCTTACGACGAACCGGCCTGCGAGCCGGAGCTGAGGGAGACTTTTGATATATTCGATACGGATGACGACGGGAGGATCACGGCGGAGGAGTTGATGGCTTTCTACAGGGAGAAAATAGGGGATGAACAGTGCACGTTAGAGGATTGCCGGCTCATGATAGCGAGTGTTGATAAGAATGGAGATGGGTTCGTGTGCTTCGAGGACTTCTCCAGAATGATGGAGTTGCAGAGATGATCATATGGTTATAGATTTGGGTGTTTGATATTAAGTTTTCAAATTCTTTTTCTTTGATTATTTAGGTTGTATTTTTCTTTCGTTTGATGCAAATCAATCATGCAAATCAATTGGATGGTCTAATTTTTTTTTGTTTGAGTTCAAGATTTTTTGAGTTCAAGTTTCTATATTATATTTCGAGTTTTAACTCGTAAGTTTGAGTCGAATTGAGTTTACTTTTAAAATTTTTAAGTTCGAGTTGAGTTCAGTAATATTCGAGTTCGACTTGGTTCGTTTAATAAATGACGTCGTTTGATTTAATTTTTTTTTTAAATAAAATAAAATTAGTGGTTTTTTCTGATTTGCAACCGATCTGATTCGAACGGTTCACTAATAATTGTTCGACCGATGTAGATTGAACCTGACTAGACAACGATTCTAGGTTGAACTGGTTAAACTGACCGATCCGGTTTAATTTTCAAAATACTGCTAATTTTGTAACTTTAAAAAACATTAAAATTCTTTAAATATTTATAATTTCTTAAGAAAATTTAAATAAACTAATATACTGTAAACCTAAATTGTTGTTATGAAGTCGAATAATATATATATATTTTTAAATAATACAACTCAGACTTATTATCAATAATCATTAAATTTTTTATTCAAAATTTTTATAGAGTTTACATTAAATATTTCGATTTAATTTATAATTTAATAAGTCTTAAATTAGCTAATTGTTTCTTTTAAAATATTACTTAAAATTGTGCTTTGCATTATTTATTGAATTATGATAAATGATCTTAATGTTATTTAGATTTTCGAAATAAACTTAGAACATGGTCCGAGTATCTTCATGATCTGGTACAGGAATGATGTCATTCTTCTTTGACTTCCGTCATTCCAAATAATCTGGAGTAAGCATGTCTTTAGCAGCCACGACATCCATACGGAATATCTTCTTCTATGACTTAGTTACATCTTTGACCTTCTTCTTGTAGTTGTCCTTATGGTATGCGAATTCTAATCCAAATATCTCATGTGTGGTTGGGACAAACCGACATGCCCCCATATTGTCGAAGTGTTAAAAGTGGAGAATATCTGACTCCTCCCCATAGTCCAAGTAACATTATGATTTCTGAGTCTCCACATCGATAAAGGATGTCACTATGGGTTAACCAATGGGCTCTCTAGACAATGTCCTTATCTTGAAAGTGCGAGAATACCTTTACCCATTTTTCTTTTGGGATGCCTTTTTGCCATTTCAGGGTAAGGAATTCCCCTAAATGAGAGTAAATGGTGTTGAATCGACGGTAAGAAATCCCTTCAATCTTCCAGAAATGACTATGGATCCAGACATGCAGAAGTTGTGTGCACCCTATAAATCTTCCTTCCCTAGTCTTTCTGCAATGGTTTAATGAACGAAAAATTTCAGCTAATATGGCTGGTGCAGGGTTTACTCGCTTCGGTAGTTATTTGAACAGTTCCACCACAATCGCCTCGATGTATCCCAAAGTTTTTGGTAAGATAACCATGCCGTTGAGACCTAGTGCAAAAAGGTCAATGATCTTCCATTCATCTGGATGAATCTCCATTAATTTCTTGATATGGGTCCCAACAATTCCTTCTCCTTTACCTTTTTGTTGAATCTGGCCAGTTACCCACTTTTCATCTACCACTGCAACCTTTGCCAACCCATTCTTGAAAGGCTGACTTTTTATGTACTTGGTGTAGACCCGGTCCATTCTATTACATTCACAATGTAGTAAAGTGATATACTCTTCAATTGTGGGCACCATGCCTTCTTGATTGAATATAAAACAAATGTACCCCAGATTCCAGAATTGCACTAAGGCTCGAATTAGGGGCTCGTCTATTTTGACATAAAGTAGAAGCGTGATATTACCATATCGCTGGTAGAATCTTTGTTTCTGGTCGTTTTTCCAACTGTCCCAAATGCTCCGCAATTCTTGAACATCGTTTTGTTTAAGGCTGATAGAAGCATAACCAACTAGACCTGTCACATAGTTTCCTTGCAGACTGTCTCCCTTTTCCTTTTGTGTATTCTCTAACCATAGCCAGACCTCTGTGTTTTTCACCTCTTGTATTACAACCCCTTTGTCCATTAATGCAAATTATTTGTGTTTAACGAACATTTTTTTTGATTCAACACATCTTTTAAATGATACAAATGGAGAAAAAAATAAAAGAAAATAACCAATGAGAAGGAAACAAGTTAGTAAAATAATAATAAAAATGAAAAATAAAAAATTTTACCCCACATGATATCTAATCCACATGCTTTTATTCTTACCCGGACATGATGTCTATCCCGCATGTTAATTTTTTTTATCAAGTCCTAACCGCATATATTTCTAGTTCACATGCTTTGAACAGAAAATAAAATAGGAAATAACTCAATCATCCTAGGTTTTGAAATGGAGTTTTGGGATGGGCTCTAATTCCTTGCAGTCTCCCAGTTTAGGTTCTAAAAAGGTACACGAGTTCTCATTGTTGGTGCCCCCTTGGGCTTGCCAGACCCTTAGGGTGCGTTTGGTTCACGGAATATAAGATTACCAGTGGGAATAAAAGATTACTAGGGAATAGGATTACTGGGAATGTTGTATTTTGTGTTTGGTTGGTTTAGCAGGAATGTAAGATTAACATGTTTGGTTAAAGAAATAAAAGATTCTTGGAATGTATATTTGATCAAATTGTCCTTATTATATATTTGTTTTTTTAACAAGTTGGAAAATATTTATATATTTTCTTTAAAAAATTTAAATTCATAAAATTCATATAATTTTTTTTACAAAATTGAAAATATAAAAATGTTTAATGAAATGGTAAATTTTTATTTTAATCCCTGAATTTCATATAAAATTTTAATTATAGATTTTTTTTTGTAAATCTAAAATAGTTTAAGGATAAATTTGTAATTTAACCTTCGTAGAATTTTTATTATTCAATGACAGAATAAGGATATTTTTGAAAGAAAAAAAATTTAAGGGCATTTTAGTCCAAAACGCCGGTAATCCAACAATACCTAAGGAAAGGGAGGTAACGGCATTCCCGGTAATATACCCCAAAAAATCCACTATTGGTAATGTAAAATTACCGGGAATGACATTCCCGGCCAACCAAACGGGGGAATGTAGATTTCATTCCCATGGGAATCTCACATTCCCCCAACCAAACACACACCCTTAGTCCTAAGCCCATTACAAGCTTATGTGGATCAAGTTAAACTTGAGAGGACACATTCCCTTATGTTTGTACAGATAATAAAGAGAAAATAACTTCAGTGACCAAAAATCCCAGATAATATACGATTTTGACCAACTTTTTTTAGATTTGCGAAAATGACCAACAAAATCGCAATGCGATCTCTAATTCGCATTGCGATCTCCACTATCGCAAATTCGCGTTGCATTTCGCGTTGCGATAGTTGGAAATCGCGTTGCGATTTTCCATTTCGCGTTGCGATAGTTGAAAATCGCGTTGCGATTTTCCATTTCGCGTTGCTATAGTTGAAAATCGCGTTGCGATTTTCCAAATTCGTTGCGATAGTCTACAGTTGTTGTTGGGAAAGTCTACAGTTGTCGTTGCGATTTTCCAAATTCGTTGCGATAGTAAAAAAAAAATTTGTTTCTTAAGAATTTTCTCTAAAAAGATAGTATCCGCGCGGACGTGTCGAAGACACGTATTACCACGACCATGACCACGACCATGACCCGACCCGACCCGACCCGAGACGAGACGGACGGCGGCGGCGACGCGCGAGAGTCCCCCTTGTTCTCTATCACTCAACAAGGAAGTGGGAAAGCCAAGCCTTAAATACCATTCCCAATAGTGTTTCCAATACTATGTGGGATTTGAGCATTACCAACACTTGTTCCCAATACTATATGGGATTGAGCCTTAAATAGTGATATTATTTTTGAATGTTTTGCTTAAAATTGCAATAATCGCGATTGATTGTAGATTGACTTTTAATTATGACATATTTAATCGTATAATACTAATGCAATTGGTTGCTGATTCAGTTGTTTTAAGGTGCATGATTGTTAATTGTTTCCTGAATAATCACATTGTATTGGAAACAAGTGTTGGTAATGCTCAATCCCACATAGTATTGAAAACACTATTGAGAATGGTATTTAAGGCTTGGCTTTCCCACTTCCTTGTTGAGTGATAGAGAACAAGGGGGACTCTCGCGCGCCGCCATCGCCGTTTGTCTGTCTCGGGTCGGGTCGGGTCGGGTCGTGGTCGTGGTCGTGGTCGTGGTAGTGGTAATACGTGTCTTCGACACGTCCGCGCGGATACTATCTTTTTAGAGAAAATTCTTAAGAAACAAAATCTTTTTTTAACTATCACAACGACTTTTCGCAACGAATTTGGAAAATCGCAACGATAACTGTAGACTATCGCAACGAATTTGGAAAATCGCAACGACAATTGTAGACTATCGCAACGCGAACTGGAAAATCGCAACGCGATTTTCGCAACGAATTTGGAAAATCGCAACGACAACTGTAGACTATCGCAACGAATTTGGAAAATCGCAACGACTACTGTAGACTATCGCAACACGAACTGGAAAATCGCAACGCGATTTTCAACTATCGCAACGCGAACTGGAAAATCGCAACACGATTTTGAACTATCGCAACGCGAAATGCAACGCGAATTTGCGATAGTGGAGATCGCAATGCGAATTAGAGATCGCATTGCGATTTTGTTGGTCATTTTCGCAAATCCAAAAAAAGTTGATCAAAATCGTATATTATCTGGGATTTTTGGTCACTGAGGTTATTTTCTCGATAATAAATTCATACGAAAACATAAGGTATATGCATCCCAAATGTTACTTGCTAGGCCTGTACGGAGAATAAATTTCCACGAAGGCGTCGCTTTCACCTCCACTTACAAAAAGGTTTGGAGCTCGGGTAAAGAGCATGAGATAAATTTTGAAAAGCTGAAATCATTGAAAAAACATCAGTATAACTATTTATTTGAAAAAAAAATAATCAAAGATAAATAAGAATGATTGAATAGATAAATTAAAATTTAAACTCACAATTTTCCTTAAGAAGACAACTGGAAACTAATTTTGGACTGACTCACTTACTGTCACCAAGCTGTCGTAATTGTTCCTG